GACGGCCCGGAGCACGGCCGCCCCGTCGCGGTGAGTAGGGCGCGGGGAGCGGCCTCTTGCGCGGAGACGCTCCTCGGGCCTCGCTCTGGGCAGGCGAACCTGGCAGGGAACTGAGCGGTTGTCACCTGCGGCAAATGGCACAGTGGCATTAATTTGGGAAAACATGACCGTAAAGACCTTACATTAAGGCTCAGGCTGGGAAGGCTGGTGAACGGCAGCTGAAAGGTTTTCCAACCAGACATGATTCTGAAGTTTTGAGAACTTTCTTTAAACACACTGGCCTTAGAGTGGCCTGTAATAGTGGTCTCATTTATTCTGCAAATGTTTATTGGGTCCTTGCTGTTTGCTGGTTCACGGCTTCCATATGGAAATCAGTCAGCCTTCAGTTAATCAAACTCTTCTGAGTGGAAACATCCAGAAATTCTTGGAAACCTTAGTAAAAGTATTTCTTGTTTAGGCACTCCAGAAATTTGTGAACTTGTGAATCCAGCAATGTTGTGGACAACTTCAGTTTTCATTGATAAGCCTATTTATAAATTCTGATTATATTAGAGAGTTTGTTGGTAAATTATTATGCCCTTTGAGTTCTCAGTAGCTATTCAAAAGGGACAGAACTGCCCTGGCCTGTGTGGCCCCATTGGTTGAGTATCGTCTTGTGCACCGAAAGGTCGCCGGTTCAATTCCTAGTCAGGGCACATACTCAGGTTTGGGGTTCCAGGTCAGGGTGCATACGGGAGGCAACAGACCGATGTTTCTCTCCCTCTCCCTTTCTCTGTCTCCAAAAATAATCAATAAAAGCATGTTTTTTTAAAGAGAGAGAAAGTTTTTTTGGTTTTGTTTTCTTGGTAATTTAAAGTTTAAAACAAATGTTAGCAATCTAATTTGTTCTATGTATTTTTTAATTCATGCCTTTATTACCTTTCACCTGGGCTGTTGCAGTGCCCATCCCTAACTAGTCATCAAGCATTTGGTCTCTTTTCCTCTCTAAATGCTTTGTCCCCCACAGGTCCTATTCTCTGGTTGAATTATTTTCCATATTCTCTCCCACATTAGTGTGGGCTGCTGGACATTTCATTGATGATTGCTTATTGGCTAGTCAGGTCTCTGGTTCTCACTTTCCTCATCTGTAAACTGCAGGTATGTTTAGCTTATTATCCTCCAGGAGGGTCCTTTCGTCCTCCCAGTCTTTCAGAATCCTGCCATCCTTCAGATCTAGCTCATATTCCTCTTCTTACATTCCTCCTCTTTTTTAAAATTTATTTTTTATTATTTTACTTTGTTGATTTGAGAAAGAGAGGAAGGGAGAGAGAGAAACATCGATTTGTTGTTCCACCTAATTATGCATTCATTGGTTGATTCTTTTATGTACCCTGACCAGGATCGAACCTGCAACCTTGGAGTATCCCGACAAGCGCTTAAACTACTGAGCTACCCAGCTTGAGCCATCTTCCTCTTCTTGAAAGTTAGTTTCTGACCACACTAGCCCAAAGCAATCAGAATCAACTTTGTCAAAAACATTTAGGAAACTTATTGTCTATGCTGTTTATTTTTAGCACATAGTCACATACTACT